AAACTCCATCTTTTACTCTAATAACCTCAAATCATCCTTTCATAGAAACAAAAAATACTTCTTGTCTGTGCTCCCTCCTAGTTCCATTGTTAAAACCCCAACCCAATCCTCCATCATTCTTTGGTCAACTTACTTGGCGTCTCTTTTGCCCTTCTGGTTGTACTCACAAACCGTCCTCCACAAGGGAAGAGCTCATGCCTGTCTCTGATACTTTGTGCCATTCATTCTCTCATTCTCTCCTTTGTTCACTGTGCTTCAGCCATGCTGCCTATCCTCGCATCCCTCGAACATGCTCTGCACATTCCTCCCTCTGCAGGTTCCTCATGCCCCCATTCATGTTAACAGTTTATCCTCTACCACTAGCACTCTGTCTCGATATTAGATGGCCAGCACCTAATATTACACCTGATTTAATAAATGTTTGCTGACTGACTTAGTCTGTTTTGAGTCATCGGCAGTCTAGCAGAAAAGTATACTGAATTGCTTTCATCACAACACAAGGATTCATGGCTCATAGCCTAATGTAATGAGAAAAATATAAAATAAAGAGAAAGCTAAAATAAAAAACTTAAAATTCACTCCTACAATGGAAAAAACTGTTTAAGTAAAAAAGCAAGAAAATAAAATCTCTAAGAGTAAACCAATAGAAAGATGTGATGATTTAAAACAGCCAAGATGGACAACCAAAGTCATGTTTGTGATAAAGCATCACATTTATTATTTTGCTCTTGAGACAAAGATAATTAATCTGATATGATTTTTAAAACTATAATAAAATGTATGATCCAGATAGAAGAGAAATATAGAACGCATTTAGAAGAATATGCATATATACAAGTGATGCTACAACAAAAATACAAGTTAAAAAAGGGAGGAAAGTGAAATAAAGAACATTTGTGAATCTGTTCTAGATTACACCTTTTCAAAGCATGGTCATCTTGGAAGCCTACTTGGACCCTTCAAGGCCTTGCTGAGTTATGTTGCAGGTAGAGCTATCCTAGGATCTAGGGCAAAGCCCACAAGACATCTCTAGAACTATCTCTTTCAGAAGTAAATTTGGAATACAAACAGCAGTCATCTACATAAATTAAAAAAAAAAGATATGTGAGAGATGATACAGTTGTCCCTTTTGTGATTAATATAAAAATTCAGAAGTATAACCAATATTTATTATAAATATAAAATTTAAAACAGCTGAATTTTGTTCTTGGCTATCTTCTAATTCTCTCTCTCTCTCTTTTTTGGTGCTTCCAAGATAATTGTGTTAACAGCAGATCTTTGAGTGCTTTATGGATTAATATAAGAAGCAATCACATGTTGAAGGAAAACACTGACATATGCTCATGAGTCTTCACTTTCATTAGGAAGAAGACATCTTTTTAGAGGATTCCAAACAAGATCACTGGGGAGATCGCGCGTGCCCTTGTGGGTCTGAGTGAAGGAGGGATGGGGTGAGGGATATCTTAATGGATGGACCAGGATCCAGAGCAGCCCAGTCATCTAGAGTTTGGGGTGAAAGCATACCTCCCTGCTACTAGAATCTTCATTGCATTAGCAAAGTGAAAAACAGAAATTGCAACCAAATTTTTAATGTTAGATATAAATATATTAGAACTACTTCTAGCATACTGAGGAATGTTTATTGGTCTCAGAACAACCTTCCAAGATGGAGTATTATATTTTATATCTTTATGAAGTTGACAAATAAAAAGGTAATGATTTAATTTATAAGACTAGAAGAAAATAGTAACTAAAATTGCTACTTTTTAACTTAGTAATTGAAAAATTTAACAATTGAAAATGTAGTAAACAAATAACTTGGAATATAGCCAGCCCATGTGTTTATCTATTGTCTGTGAATATTTTTGCTCTAACAACAGCAGAAATCAGTAGCTGCAACATAGATACTGTGTTCCTTAAAATCTATAATAGTCACTCTCTGGTCCCTCACAGTTGGATGAACTCTGTAATGTAAAGATTAATTTGGATATGCATTACAAAATAAGACACTATTTTTCCAGCTATAGAATTTCATAACCACAAAGCATAGGTATATGAGCTGTTTAACTTTTCACTACGATTTTTAAATATTTGCTTAAATCTAAAAATTTATCATGCTGTCAAAATAACATTCAATTTCCTTTTCTGTAACTATATTTGTACAGCTTCTGTGTTTAGTTATATAACATATCTGGAAGTTATTATGGTTTGGTTTGCTTTATCTTTCTAAAAATCTCTATGTGAAGTTTCAAATGTGGACAGGCAATATTTGTTCAAGGAAAAATTATCTTTTCCAACCCAATTCCTGACTGATTTCTTCCTCACCGTTCTAATTATAAAATATTCAAAATAAAACATAGAAAAAAAATGAAATATTACTTTTCAAAAGCCCAGTAAATTTAGTATTTTAAATTTATGGTTTATGTTTTACATTAGCTTAGTTCTGATTCTGAGCAAAGTGGGAAGTTTACTTTATATGAAACTTCTGATTCGACAACACAATCTCTATACACCATCTCTAAGTTTATTTCCAGAACAAATGCGAAAACCTGTTTCTACTTTTTCCCTTAAGAAAAAGAATATAATTAAGAGTTCTGAAGTTCTAAATTATCACCAATTGTGAAAGGCACAAATAGCTGGAAAGTAAGTGACTTAGCAATGTACAGAATCAGGATTTAAAGACAGACTGACTTCAGTCTTACAATTTTGAAAAGTAAAGAAAGATGGTAATTTTCTTAAGTTTGGGTAAGTTAAGCTATATAGAACCATATATTTTGCTTAAGTCATCCTTGGTATTACACATTAACTTTTTTTAGGTTCTGTGGAGAAATTCTGGATCAAACATTCCCTCAGAAGGTAGATAGTGGGTCCATTTGCACCCTGACAATTTCTTCTCTGTCACAAAGAGCAGTATATGCCCCAGTCTATTAAGTCAACAGCAGAAGAATTTATTTAGTGACCCAAAGACTATATACATGTTAACTGAGACAATTCAGATTGTTTATTTTTTAAAACTAACTCATCTTTGTATCATGGTCAATATGTATTGAGGGATAGTAATTTAACAAGGCAAAGTTACTGTTGAATATTTCTTTTAAAAAGTTTTTAAATAGTTTTGTGAACACTGACTGAAGTTTGGACCTCAAAATCATGGTGACACTTCCTCTTCTTTACCAAAACGAATCTATTAACTTACCAATATATGACCATTTTGTTTTCTACATTTTAAAAATATACTTTCATATTTCATTCCTAAATCACCTCTCACTTCTTTTTATGTGTCACATTTTTCTAAACGACTGTTAAAAGATGAAAAAATGGAGAACATGTGCAACAAAAAGACTGGCAAATTATTAACCATTTAAAAGAATATTCTAAATTAATAAAAAAACTTCATGAACATAGAAGCTATCTTTTAAACACAGGAATTAAATCTTAGAGAGAATATATTTATGCATGGCAACAAAGCAAGCCTCTAGGGTTACAGCTGGTCCATCTTCTGTGACTCCTCGGTTCAGAAAGCTGCATTAGAGAGTGAGAAAGCCGGAGTGGCTTTCCAGGAGGATGTGGGTAATTTTCAACTATCATTGAGACAGGCAAATACAACTGCTCCTGATGACGACCCTCACCTGTGTGGTTGTTAAAGCAGATGGCCTCCCTCCCCCTGCCTGTTTCTCTTCCCTTCCAAAAGCTCCTCCTTTTTCTACTCCCCGCTTGATGTTCATTTTTGCTAACTGCAAAACATTGGCTCTGCACGTTGTTTTTATTGACAAACTCTTAGCTTTGGGTTTTATTTTTAATATAGGAAGCTTTTATTTGATAAATGTAAATTTCATAAGTACAACTTTTGGATTGTAGAGGTTCTTCCCCCATACCCGCCCTCCCACCCCCAAACCATCCCACCTCCTATTCCCTCTCCCATCCCATTCTTCATTAAGATTCATTTTTAATTACCTTTATATACAGAAGATCAACACTATACTAAGTAAAGATTTCAACAGTTTGCACCCATACAGACACACAAAGTAGGTTTTAATTTCACTACAGTCTTCACTCCAGTGCTAAGAAATGGTGAAATTCAAGGAAGTCAGGTACAAGCCAAAGAGAGAGAGTGAGGATACCACCTTCAATTCATGGAATTTTATTTTCATTCCTGGAATTATCCAGGCAAGTGCAAAACAAGATCAAACTCCTCTGCTAGTCTTACTGAAAATCCTACATATCTTAGTTCCATGGTTTCAGTTTGGAATAAATAACTTGCAGTAAGGTCAAATTCCTGGATCTAACAGATGAAAGATACACTTTATTCTCCAGCAAGTATGGAAATCAAAATATTTCAGAAAGGGATTCCTGGCTGAAATTTTAAAAATCACAATAAGCCTTTGTAGCCATTTTAAGGAACACATCATACCACTGAATTATTAAAATCTGAGCATCAACTTAAATATTTCATTGCTCAACTTTTAAGCCTTTTTACAGACTGATATTCTCATACTTGGAACATTATTTAAAAGACTTTTCACTGTAGACAAGTAACAGAAATAAAATGCCTAACAGGCTGGAGCTGGGATTATAAATTAAAATATTCTTAAAAAATACTCAGTGACTAGTGAAGAATGAGTTATATGTGAACATTTATATATATATATTTATATAGGCAAAAGAATGTGGCAGCCTGAATATAAGTGAATCTGCAATTTTGCTGAAAGTCTACAATAATATCATAAAATACATGTTCATCTTTGGACAATATTTGAAATTAAAGCAACAGCATCATTGCTCATCCCCAAGTTAAAGGCAACTGAGAGGACACCAACATGTGGCACTGCCTAGCAGGAAGAGGAAAGAGCATGCCACTGAGTCAGTCAGTCAGCTGGTTTGATCACATTGGCTTCATTGTCAACGTCCTCCCAGGAAGTTTAGTGGTCTGACCAATGAGCTCCACTGTTATTCCTATGCCACCATCCTCCCTTCCTCCTCATCTCAGGCTTAAAACTTACCCGCGCCCCCGGTTCTTTGACGTCCTCACTGCTATAGCCATAGTAGTCTGGGGCTTTATCCAATTCCTGCATGTTTCCATGTGCCCTTATACTCTTATCTGCATGGCAAGACGAGCAGACGGCTGCATTTCCCATCTCAGTTCTGTAGTTCCTGCGGTCAGTTGGGCCCGTGCTTGCCTTCTGCACTCTGTCCAGGGCTCGCAGGGGCACACTAACATGGACAATTCATCAAGAAGATCCTTGGCTCCTCCACTCAGTCCCCCTACACGCCCCTCACCAGGCCTACCCATCTGCCGGCTGGCTTGCTGGTGTCAGAGAGAACTCAAAACCCGGCAACTGCAGGCTGCATTCAGTGGCCATTTCCAATTCAGGCGCTGCCTGTCTATTTTTACACCTACCAGGCCAGCTATGCATGTCAATGGAGTGAGGGGGGTGAGGCAGAGGGAGCAGGGGAGGGGGCGGCGCTGTTTTGTTTTTCACCATGCAAGCAGCCTGCTTCACACATGGATTAAAGTTCCCGCTGTGGAAAATGTCTCCACATATGAGAATTTTTGCATCTCTCAGTGAATGCCTTTGAATCCTGCGATTTTCCCCCCTCTCTGTCTCTATTCACACAGAATACTAAATCTGTTAACAACCTTTATCAGCATAGCAGATAAAAGCTGTTTCTTTGATTGCCAAAACCAAGTAGCATCCACATGGCTTATATATGCACTATCCTTTTCCTTATCATTTACAGAAAACAATTAATCATCCTTGTAGAATTTAACATTCACAGGAAATATATCAGTTAAAATGGCAAATTGACACAGGAAAGGATTTTTTTGGAAAGTATGTACAATTTGTCATTATGCATGAGTTGGTCACCTAAGAGCAAATGTTTTGAATAATTTATAATTTTTTTAATTTTAATAAGTTTGAAAATATTTCCCCCAAGTTTACAAAAAAAGATAGCTTTTAACAATATACAATTTTTGAAGTTATATTACAGATTAAAAAAAAAACAAATTTCTTCCTGAGATGAGCACAGCAAACACAGTATACTTAAGAAACCCGTTATAATAAAAAGCAAGCCTTCGTTATAAATTATAAAACTTTACATATAGTTAATATAAAGACAATAAGCTTTATCTTCCTACTAAATTTCATGTATGTGTAGGTATTTGAATATTAGTTTCTTTCTTCCTGTGTCAGTTGTGTAGATAAATATCTTCTCTTTCAAACAGTTTTAAACTACTCAATGTAAGGTCCAAACTTTGTAACTTCCATCCACATGCTATATATTAAACATTGAAGGTCTAATAAGTACATTGAATTGAATGCAATCATTTGGGGAAAACAGGATGTGGAAAGTATTTAGAAATTAACCATAATATGGTTGCTATGCTAGAATTCACCTTTTTGATTTGTCATTATTTTTAAAAACTGAAAACAATTTTTAAAATTAAAAATAGCACTCCTGAAACACCATTCTCATATTTGAGTTCATGAAGCCCTATAAACTCAGATCTGGGGATGACATTTTTGGATTACTCCTTTCCATAGGTTCCCAAGCTGCATTTTTCAGACGGTCCGGCTGTGAATAACTCTTTATTGCGAGTTTCTAAGTCTAATACCATAAAGATCCTCTCTCTACACTCCAATTTCTGAGAAGCATCTCAAGTATTCAGTGAAAATATTTTTAGTTCTCAGGTAAAGGCGAAGGCACCATTTTATTTTAAACTAGTGACTGAATCAGCAATCTGCAATCTCAGAGTCACCCGGGACAGCACACACAATTTCTCCACTCTTGCTGAACAGAAGCATAATCAGGACACTGTTAATATTAAAGCTTTAAGTGAAACAGACCAGACTGTGGGCAGAGATGTACCAAGTAAAACCTTTCATGTCACCTGAATAATTGTATAAACATTAATCTCATGATTCATCATAATATGGCAATGTCTCATCAGATGTTCCACATATTTGAGCCACATACTGTATTAAGTTAGCTGTGACGTCTAATGATGTGTGTACCAAAATCGTCTAAGAGGATGTGGTTTTAAGTTTCCTGTCTTCTTCTCCATAGTTCTTAGAGCCTGGAGAAGTTCTGTGGTCCACAAGTCTTACAATGAATGTTTCTTCTTGAATACATAAGAACCATTTTATTCAGATATAAACCGAGATTTTCCTAGTGACTGAATGAGGTGTCTGCCCCCCAACACACACATAAACACTCCGGAATTTGTTTACTACTTCTGAAACATGAAAATTTAACATTCAACAGAATTTTAAATACAGAATAATGAAAACACTAACAGCAAATTCTAAAAATGATCTGAGCTTCTGAAACACCACACTTATATGTGTAAAAGCAGTATTTACTCACTCCAGATCAGGGAGCTGTCACTAGGTGTGGAATGAATAATTTTGCTGCGCTTTAACGGCATGAATTGTTGCCTGGCTTCTTTGTGTCTGATTCATATATTACCCATTCTACCACCAGGTCTTTGCTTTTTGTTTCTGCTTCAACCAAACATGCACCCCTTCCTCCAGCACTCCATGCTCACTGCCTCCTTCACAGCTCATCTGAAAATTCACTTTCCTCTGTAGCTCTAAAGACAGATCATCATCCTTCTACCCCTCCTGGACTTTTGGGACTAATATAATCCCATACAACTCCTGCTTTATAAAAAACAAAAGTGGGAAATGTTAGTAAAATGGTGCAGTCTTATCTATGGCACGATCTACACCCTGACACCATGGTAGGCTCCAGCTCCCACCACCATTGCTGGAAGCCAGGTGGCCACATGGCCTAACCACCAGTGTCAAGCTCCACCCCCATCCTAATGGGATTCGCTGCTCCTACTTCCCTGCCCGGCCCCCCAGCAAAGTTTTAAAAGGACCTGTTCCAGAACACGTGTCTCTCCTTCTCTCGGTCTGCTGATCTCTCTCTCTCTTGACCTCTCTTACACTTTCCTTCTGCTTCTTTTTCTTCTTTGCCCCTTCCCTCCAGTCTATTGGGTTTCCCCAAAAAACCCTTTCCCTTAAAAAAAAAAAAAAAAAGAAAATTCACTTTCCTCTAAAAGTATTCATTATACCTATGTTAGTCCCTTAATTTGTTCAAACGTCTTTTTCAGTATGGTTGGGACTACCATCAGCTCTTACTTTTTCTTCATGATAGCCTAGTAGCCCTCACTGATCTCACAGATGTAAACATGTACACTAGTATTAGAAAGTAGCTCCATACAGGAATACAGTTCGTAAGTCAGTATTAAACAGAACTACACTGACCTAAACTTCTCTTTTTCACATATTAACAGTAATAATTTAATAACTGAAAGCAACTTAAAGCAGGATAAATCTTCAATTCCATCTCCAGTTTTGCAAAAAACACTCCTTTAGTTTTGAAAAAAAAAATCATTTGGGATTAATCGTCCTACAAAAGAAATTGTGTTTTGTTAACAAAGGAAAAAACACTGAGAGTATGAATCAAAACAGTAACCTGCTGACAACTCTTCCAAGACACTTTTTCTAAATGACTCACATCAGTTTTCTCCCCACCCCTTTTCTTCATGGTGGGAAGTCATCTCATTCTCTTTCCATGAGGGAAAACTTCTGCTTGTTGAATATAAAATCCATAGTCCAATTGTTCAAAACCCCATTGCTGAAGCTGAATGCCCAAGCAAGAAAGGGCAGGGTGCTCCTGTGCTGGCTAAAATGTCCTATTTTCTGTCAGAGCCGATTGAAATGATCTACCCAGATCATGTCATAGCGGTGAAAACAGAATTTCCAATGAACAGCTTCCTTTTGGCTATCACTCCAAACACGGATCCCACATGTTCTGATCAAAAGCACGTGTGTGGGGTCCAACACAGAGGACATTAATTCAGAGGTTGGAAGATTTCTAGTTCTAGCTCCCTGTGGCTTACAAAGAGTAGCTGCCAGACAGGCTTCTCATGAAAACTGGGTGATGTGATATAACCTATATACATAACATTGTGCCAAGTGGAAGGCAAGGTTAGCAAACACTGCAGCAATCATGCGTTAATAATATGCCAGTAGACAGCTGAGATCTCTGTGGACATCTGACGTGGGATACACTTTCTGCCAGGGCAGAACAATGTCACCACTGTTCCTCAAAAATGCGTCAAAGTCATTAGGGCAAATTACTCACAAAGCAAATATTTGCATGTTTGACCACACTTAGAGCAGGATACTTGAACTTGATACGTGACATAGAAAGTGAAATTCAAAGCCCCCATGATGTGACATATTTGCAATATCTTCCTAAATTCCAATGCATTTTTACTGTTATTTCATTTGTATTGCTGTTTCAAATCCATCACAAGAGACAAGCAATTAAGGACTGAGAACAAAGGCTGACTTCTCAGCTGTGTTCTGAAAGTCATCACTGAAGTTCTTGTAACAGCAAAGTTGAAAACCATCCACTGTTGTTTTCAATTCATTTCTCAGCACTAAGTGAATTATCAGCAAACTGACACCTCAGAGAAAAAAATAACTGTCTCAGTTCCATAATTTAACCCAAAGAGCTAGATCAGAACTCATAAAGTGCAGTTAGCTAGCAGTTACTAACTTTCATTAATTTACCTATGCAGACTTACATAAACTTGATCAAATCCAGGCTGCAATTTTCTTCTTTGAAAAAACATTTTAAAATAGGTAGACTAGCCAATTTCTGGGTTCCTTCCAGCTCTCTGAAGAGGTTTGTTTCTAGGAACCAGAACCGGTTAACATCTGAACACACACCTAACACTGGATGGTAGTTGAATTGACCATCTATTTAATTTTTTCCTGCAGAATAAAAAGGGTGCAAATCACTTGGTATGATGCAGAATGAGCTCTGGTTCTGGGGCAGGCTCTGGGCATTTGTGTTTCCCAGGTAGACTCATGACAAGCTCCTCATTACTATCCGGGAGCTCATTTCCAAGGTGATGCTCCTTCTGCTTTTGCTCCACCTCTCCTAACAAACTTGAAACTTTTTTGAAAACCGTACATGCCACAGCTTTTTCTATCTCACAATCATATAATAACTGTCACTGGGGAAAAACTTACTCTGAAACTTTGCAGCATAGCTTTATAAGACATGGTAAGCCGAGATTTGGCAAATCAACTGTATAAGCTAATAGAGGGTCTTATTTTCCAAAATGTCTTGATTCATTTTTACTTAAAGAGGAAGTGCTATCTTATTAAAAGTAGGGAAGTGGGAAGAAAATGCCATAACTCTTTAAAATGTCAAATCATAAAGAAAGTATCATTCAGAACCATGAAATTCAATTTTTTTTCTTTCCTAAAAGTTGCAAGTTATTCCAGAGTATCTATTACACAAATGACAAAAGCAATGTAGTTTCTCCTAATCTAGATGATCATGCCCTAGCACGGCATTTAGTTAACAGCTTGAATTTTGAAGATTATTAATATGTGAGAATTATATCACCTTTACTGAATTTAGAAATCTGCTTAGATTACAATATACCCAAACCCCTTTTTATCATGGTAACCATAACTTAAGATTGATGGCTTCAAATGTATTTATCTGATTAAACAAATGTTTGGTTCTTCCTATTGCATGAAAAATTCTAGATGCTCACAGAATCATGTGACACCAAAGACAAGTTCCTCTGACTTTGGAACTCACTGACCTGTGGAAATGAAACTGGAATACTCCGTGCAATAATCCAGGCAGGGTGCTATTTCCTTTCATGTTTGAGTTGATTCAATATAATTCATTTGACTAAAAGTTGAACATAATGATTTTTACGAATTGGGTCTGTTATG